TAGAAACAAACATTTCGTAGAAGCATACAGTTTAAAGAAATCCCATTTTTTTATGCTATGGTATTTTGTGGATTTTTTTTTATTGTTGATGCTATTACAGATGTGTTATAGTAATTTTTATATGAGTGTTCAAGCATATGTCCTAATTTAAATTCTTTAATCTAAAGTTTGAGTCTTTTTAAAATTGAACGTTTATTAAAGGGAAATTATGTTATTTAAGGAAATTCAAAAGCAACTCCTTAAAAATATTCTTCTCATAAGTATATACAACATATGGGGAATTTAAAAATGTATCATTTTAATAAAGAACATTTTTGTGTCTTTCAGGCAACTATATGAACTTGCTAGTACAAAGGGAGACTTTTAATTGTATAGTTATTTGGTATCCATTTACAAGAAAACACAAGGAAAAAAGCCAAACTACCATGTATTGTATTCAGGTACTTTGCATAACATTTTACTTTAATAATTTCATTTGCACTGCAGCTAGCCTGTGCGTAGTTACAGTGTCCCCTCTCTACTAGTGGTGAATTGGGGCTGAACAAACCACAGCGAGCAAGTGGCAGAGCTCACCTCCACCTTAGTTCTAATCCCAGAGCCAACACGCACAAATACACCTTTCTCTCCCCTTGAAATATTCTTGTAAATTAAAATAATCTTTCACTGGGTCCTAAACATTTTTGATAGTAAAATTTACATATATTCCAACAGTATTTCCAATAGTTACTTGTATATAGTAAGTGGCCTATGCCTATTAATTACATACATCTACTTATAAAACTATATATTACTATTGTTGGTAAAGTTTAGCTTTTAGAGGAAGGGCCACTTTATCTATAATTATAATAATAGGGAGCTAGTTGAGAGACAGGAAAAATGGATTCTGATCTCAAAATCACAAATCCAGCATATAAAATTTTACATCAATTTTCCTCAACTAGAGAATGAATCTGTTTAAATGAGAATCCTTCAAGTACCTTAAGAAATAAGAGTTCTTTAGTTCTACGAACATGCCTGAAATTGCACTTGTGATGATCAAAATAGGAGTGTTTTAAAGAGTACTAAGGGCTAAGTTAATAAGCTGTCTCAGTGACAAAATTAAATATAACTCATGGTTCCTGCCTCAGAGGAACTGAAAGGGCATCGGGTTGGGAAAATTAAATGACAGATAACGAACAGTAAAGGTAATAAAGGATATTATCATACAATGCCTATAATTCTATTTTCAAATGAGCAGTATGGGCAATTATTCCTGAGTTCACAGGAAGATACAAATTAAAGTGTTCTGGAGAGTTACCATAAAAGAAAAGAGATTTATTAAATCTCAGAAAGGAAACAGTCTTGGCTAGAGTAGCCAACAGAAAAGATTTTCTAATTTATATAAAAATAATTACACATTGAGAACAATGGTCGGTATGAGACATGGAGCTTACAATCTATTTAGGAATCTTTATGTAAATCATTGAATTTTATTCTGTAACTTTCTTTTGAATAATATGGTAAATATTTTAAAGTTTGAGAGAAGGTTCAACAAATACTTAGTTTATTAGATTTGACTCATATTTGACTTTTTCTGTGAGTATTTGGAACTCAATTTTTATAAGATAAAAATATTTGATTGCAATAAATATACAATATGATGTGATTGTGACATATTTATAATTATATAGTCAACACGTATTGCTATATTTAACATAATTAAAATACGTGTCGAACTGGTGGTAGAGAATTGGGTAATCAAGCAAATATATAATTGAAATGTCTGTTTTATTAATTTTAATCATTATTATGATAAAATTAGGTCATGTAATAAAGACAAAAATAATGATACAATTGTTAATTGAAGTTGGAAGGAAAGATGTCTTTTTATTATTATTGAGATGTTAACTGGGTTTCGAAGTTTTAAAAAAGCTAATTACCACCACATTTTAACTTGGGAGATGTTGATATTGTTCTGTACCATGAACTTATCTCCTGCTACTAGTCAGTTTGGGAAATAAAAATACATTTTTCAAGGTTAAGAAAATATCAATTTACTATGAAATGCTGTCTATTTAATAAAGACAAGATGCTCTTCAGAACTCTGTGTGTGTGTGTGTGCGTATCCACACATACATATTTCCTTCTAAGAAAAAGTGAAGTATTTAACACATCACCTCTTTAGGGCCAACCATACCAGTTAAGTTATTTACTATGCAGTGGTATCATTTAAAATGTTAAGAGCTATTATAACCAAAGTTATCTCTTCAAGTTTATTTTTCTTTTCAAAATAAAGAGCAAAATAAAAACAAATTAAGAGTATATATAATCAAAAGAGTATACATGAGAAACCTTCACCAAGTGGTTATATTTGATAAGATACACGTGCAGAAAAATAATTTAAAATTAAAAGTTTTTATATTCATTTACAATTGAACTCACTGCATACCCTGATTTATTTCCATTGCGACTCATGACTTTTTCCAATCTCAGAGTGTTAAGTTAGATTTCCCACTAGTAACTGAACCTCCAGGCTTGCATTGGATGGAAAACAAATAGTTTAGCAAGAGGTTCACTACTATCTTAAAATAAATAGTAAACATTGATATACACAAAGAGAGTATTATAGTACATAATTTGAAAGATATTCATTATTTTTAGCCAGTTACATAGCACATATATTATTATATAACGACCAAATATATTAGCTAGACACATCCTGACACTTATTTTCTTTGTGGTGACTATACATAAAAATTTCATTGTTTAGAATATGTTGAAATTTTGTATATTTCAACCTGTCTATTTATTTTTAGCATAGGGAGGAATACGGAAAAAGCAAATAAAGTAACTGAACATTCAAGTGTTGAAAACGTTTTTATTTAATTACATTGTAGATAATAAGTGCATACTGCCTTACTTTGCTTGATTTGGTGTTTCCTTGTGGTTTTAGTTTGGGGTCTGGGAATACTTTGAAATGCTAGCTTTGTCTTGCTGAGCATAGAGGAAGCCAGAATTAGTCTTCTGTGTAAACTGCTCCCTAGATGTACATTTAAAGCATAGTTCATTCTTCTAGGCAAGCAGAACACCACTTAGTGAATTACTGTTTATGTTAAAGGCTAATTCAAAAGCACACCTCTGAATTAGCTTTCTCAGACAGCCAATTCTCACACAATAAATTTTAGGACACAGAACTCTGGAGGGTAGAAACATTACTGAAAAACAAGATCTCCAAAATAATTTCTATACCTAGAAACATCTCTAATCTAAATATATGATATTTCTCCAATATGTTACTATTTGTTAATGTAATACTAACTCTTTATTATTATTCACATTATTAAAATACATTAATTGTAAAGCTTGACTGAATTTCTTGCCATTGTTACTTTTATCTCAATTGTTATTATACATTCTGTTTTATAAGGGTTTACATATTTTTAACATAAAATGTAGTCATTATGCATTAAGTAAAGACTATTTTACACTGAATGCAGAATGTCATTCAATGTAAGACTTTATTTTGATACTACAAAAAATCCTGTAAATTAAATTATTACATCTATGTTAAAATAAGGGGGAAATGTGCATCTTAGATGCAATGAAATGTGTATATTTTATTGCAATTTATAAGTCTTTGCAAATCATACTATTAAAAAAGTTCTCATCACCTGGCATAACATAATAGTTTTATAAGAGTACTGTGTAAATTCAAGCTCTGTTACAAGGTTTGCAATTCTAGTCAAGATGAAGGAACAGAGATAGAATGAAGCCTCTTACTAGAAACACCTAAAAAATGACAAAATATATGACATAATTTTTTAAAGAATTTGGGCACCAGCGAACAACGGTGATTCCTCAGAGACAAGCAATCAACAATGTGAGAGCTATACTTGCTCCAGGTTCTAGGCTGGGCAGTTCAGACTGGGCCACCAGGAAAGGGATCTTAGAAAGAGCCCAGCAGTCCCTCTGAATTGAAGAAACAGGGCTGGAGTCTGAGGAGGCTGACGCAGCTAGAGTTTAATGAACTAAGTACTGGAAAAGAAAGAACTGCACAGAAGAAAAAAATCTGGATGTTGGGCATGTACAGGAATTTTCTCTTGAGGCTTCAGCTGATTTCTGAACAGCACAAGTTTGTGAGAAATGATCTGTGATAAAAGAAAGAAGCTGAAGGAATTGGAACCATTTCTGGAATTTACACAGGACTAGGATTAGTTGTTTTTCCTACTATCCAAAGTAGACTATTTCACAATTCAAGAAGCAAAGCATTGGATGGAGCATCGAAAATGGTTTTGCATGAGAAGTGAGCCAGATTTAGCACTAAATAAAACAAGCTAATTGCAAAAGGATCCAACTGTTTCCAAGCAACTTAATTTCATCCCAGAAGAAAAATTCAGCAAATATTTATAGGAATACAAAAATATCAAGCACCCCAGAAGGTAATATTCACAATACCTTCTATTCAATCAAATTTCACCCGACATGTTACAAATCAGGAAAAGTATAGCAAAATGAGAAGAAATACCAATTAATTAAAACCAACCCATGGCAGAGATGATAAAGTGAGTAGACAAGAACATTAAAAGAAAAATTGTAATTGTATTCCATAAGTTCAAGGAACTAGAGGAAACAGTTTAGGTATTAATTATAAATATGGAAGATATAACTAAAACCCAAATTGAATTTATAAAGTTGAAAACTACAGTGTCTGCTATGAAATAGAATGGCGGGATTAATAGTGAATCAAATACTGCAGGAGAAAAGATGACTAACATTGAAGATATACTAACAAAAATTATTTAAAACATAACAAAGATAGAAATAAACTGTAGGCCAACTTCAAGCAGCCTATTATAGTATGTGTGACTAGTTTTAGAAATGACATGTGTAACTGAAGCCCTGAATATTATGTTTCAAATTTGATAAAAATTTATAAATTAACATATCCATGAAGCATAACAATCCCTGCAGGTTAGAAAAAAATTAAGTAAGTGTATATGTATGTCAAAAATTATACCTTAAGGTCAATGATGAGAATTAATATTGTCTTGAAGAGACATGATGACTTAAAAAAAATTATACTGTAACTTTTTAATGTACAAATTTTTGTGTGTGAATTTTCTGTATCCTCTAAGCATTGTTATATAATGTTAGAATTATCTCAAAATTCTAATTTTAGTGTTGATTGTTATGTAATACAGCATTTATTTAAAATAGATTTATTATTGTTATTATTACTATTATTTACATCATTTACTTGGGTGATATTATTATTTTTTTTATCCTTACCCAAGGACATTTTATCATTTTTTTGTTCAGATAGAGGAGGAGGAAGAGAGAGAGAGACAAACATCGACATGAAAGAGACACATTGAGTGGCTGCCACCCACACGACCCAACCAGGGCCGGGGACAAACTGCAACCAAAGTACATGCCCTTAGAGGGAACCAAACCAAGTCTCTCTGGACTGAAGGCCAATGCTCTAACCACTGAGAAAACCGGCCAGGGCTTGGGTGATATTCTTTTATTATTTATTTTAATTTATTGCCTTGAGGTTAGCTAATATGGAATGGAGATGTTATGCCTTTTGAAATGAGTTATGCTTTCCTTTGTAAGTTGGTACATCATTGATTTTTATAACTGTTTCCTAAACATAAAAAAAGAATTTACCTCCTCTGTATTGGACATAGTTTTCTTTGACAAAACCAACCTCTAATTTAAATGTAATCTTTGAAACTGTTACCAGACTCTACAAAAGTTGTATATCTAAGTTATGTACCTTACAATTATATAGAAGGTGTTTGAAAGTTATTGCAGAAAAAGGCTCTCTGTGGGATAATTACAGGGTTTGAGATATATAAAGTGAAACAATTTCACTGTTGTTCCCTTTGGATTTAAAACATTTCTATCCAATTTTGGAAAGATTCGTTTGGTAATTCTGTGGTGACCCAAAATTGTGTAATTTTATTAAAATAACACAAAATATTTGTTATTTGACAAAGCAAAACTAACTTACCTACTTAAAGAAGTATGTTACTTCTATGAGTATACGTGGCTAATTTGTCAATTGAATTCACATGGACACATACAGTTTATAAGTTATCAGTGTATATTCTATATTATCTATATTATAAAATAAACATTGTTCATAAGGGAAGGTTTTCTATATTTTATAGTATTTTTCAAACTGTTTAAGCATAACTTGTCACAAATTAATGGAATGTAGAGTTAAATTTTATTTTTTAAAATTAGTTTTGTTTATTTTTTATTGCTGACACCTTTACAGATGTCCCCCTTTCCCCCCTTTTTGCCAAAAGTTTCAGAAAGTTTATATTTTATAGTTATCTAATCTCACCAAGATTTCATGAGGTAATTGTAAAGTTAATAAAAATACTTTTTACCGTTCTATTCTTTTTTTTTTTTTTAATATTTTTTCTTCTTTATTGATTTTAGAGAGAGAGGAAGGGAGAGGGAGAGAGAGAGATAGAAACATCGGTGAGAGAGAACATCGATTGGCTGCCTCCTGCATGGCCCCCACTGGGGATCGGGCCCACAACCTGGGCATGTGCCCTGAGTGAGAATCGAACCGGTGACCTCTTGGTACATGGGTCAATGCTCAACCACTGAGCCACACCAGCCAGGCTACAGTTCTATTCTTGAAGTTGTGCATTCAAATTGAATCCATAGACTCACACATTATACTCTAGATTCGACTACAAATCTTCTAAATGTAGAGGGCAAACAGCCATATTTTTATAGTACACGCTAAAGGACCTACTTAGAGTGCTTGTGATAATCCATTCTTAAGGAGAGAAAGGGAACTAAAATAATCCTTTGATCAGCCTATCTTCAGGGCCTTCAGGCAGATAAATGTCTAAATCATTTCTATCTTGTATTATTGAAGATAAGGAACCTTGCCTTGAGCCCAGAGTAAATGGTCATGTGATTTAATGTATGCTTAGTTCTCTATAAACCCATCATATTTTTGTGCAGGGTTACATTTTCAATGAAATGATAGACCCTGGCTGGTTTGGCTTAGCAGTTAGAGTGTTGGCCCATGGACCAAAGGGTCCTGGGTTTGATTCCCAGTCAAGGGCAGGTACCTGGGTGGCAGGTTTGATCCCCAGCTCTGGTTGGGGTCAGGGTTAAGTGGGAGGCAACCAATTGATGGGTCTCTCTCACATTGATATTTCTCTTTCTTCCCCCTCCCTCACTTAAAAAAAAAAAGAAGATAGTTCTTAAAATTATGACTGTAATGGCTAAATTTGAGTTATATAACAGCTTTTTCAGAGGCAGTTGACTGAGATTACAGTTACTTGGCTTGATAGAAACTAAAACATTTATCAATTAACACCTTGACAATTTTATTTCTGAGCTTAGCACCATGCCTAGACTTTTCCTAATTATGTGTTAAAAAAATAAATGAAGTTAATTAATTTGTTGACTTATACAATGAACCTAAGAACTTGCCCATGTTTATTTTTAAAGCCAGGTGGCATCCTTTCACTACATAAGAATGTTCAAAGGTAAAGATGAGATGATGTCTCATACTTACTCGGTAGCTAGTCAATATCCAAAACAGACCTTAACTAAAAGTTTCAGATATTTCTCATGGCTTTGACTAAAAAGCACTATGCAGTATTTTATTATTATTATTATTATTATTATTATTATTATTATTATATGATGAGTTAAACTATTATTCAATGACTTTAAATCAGTCTGTAATGATCACTTGAAAATCACTGCATCATATTCTTCTTTTCCTTGTCTGGATTTTTATCTCTGTCTCACTTTATATCTCTAGTTCTCCTGAGGCATATTTTTCAATAAGGTCAAGAAAAGAACTATTGATTGTGTCTGACAAATGTCAGAAGTCTTTTCTATCAAAAAGAAAGAGAAGAGAGCAATACCTAAAAGTCTGATCAAAGCTAGTAAGATGAATGGTGTCACATGAAAAAGGAGGATCCATTATTTAGCCACTTTCAACTCTTAAACCTCTTTAGTTATTTGTCAAGTTATATCATATTTCTGCAAAGCTTTGTTTTGGGGGGATTATTTTTTAATTTAATGTTCTATCAAAGGGTTTATATTTTCATTGTCTTCCATGAGTAAACATACAATACCTTGAATGCTATATATTCCAACTAAATAAAGAGTCAGTAAATTTGATTGTAGAGACATATAAATCTTTCTTCTATCCATATAACTCAGTTGAGAATTATGTTAAGACATTTCTGAGAATGTAATTACTTTCCCAGTGCTATTATTCTAAAAAATACATAATTCTATTTTTAAAATAAAACTGAATTTCCATGTAAAGACACAATAATATATAAAAATTCCAGATAGAAACAAGATAAATTTAAAATCTCAAAATATATTTCAATAAATTTGCAGAAAAATGTGCTATAAGATGCTATATAGTCCAAAGTTATGGATCTTAACACATTATAGTATTTGACTTTTAAACTTTTTTACACTATTGTTTCTAACGTATGTAATAGATATTACAATTTAAATATTAAAGACTAAGTTAATCTTGAAGAGATGCCTTCAGATCAGGAATAGTTAATACATAATGACATTAAGCATTGCAGACTTCTGTGTCTCAGTGAGATGAAGCATGTTTCAAGAGAATGCTATTTTCACTCTACTAATAATGAAAAGCAAGAGAACTGACAAAAGCATAGTTTTAACAACTCATCGGAGATATGAGGGTATATTCAGAAATCCTAGTAAACTAAAATCAATGAAGTGATAAGCCTCTCCTAGGAGAAAAGAGAGCTAAGTCCGCTTGCCTCCCCGCTGGAGCGGATGAAGGAGGAATTCGCCAGAGAATAGGGTAAGGAGAAACAAACCAAAATTACAATTCAGTAATAAGGATAACCAAGCGTTGTCTGGCATGATGGTTTAGTATCCTAAAGGGCCTCAACCTCCAATCAAGCCTTCACCTACCTGCCAACACTTTCCCAAATCTTCACTGAAAGCCAGAGTTGTAAGCAAAAGGTGAAAGACAGAGCAGAAGAGTGGTTAGAAGGAACTTTCCAGAGGCATTTGGAGCCAACTGAGGGCTGAAGGCAGGATAATTGAGAGAAACCAAACTAGACATTCTGGGTCTTCAGCAACCAGAAAGCTGTGGCTGTGCACATGGACGGTAGGGCAGAAAAATAAAAACTTTTTCAGGCAAACACTCTGAACCCTGGGAAATATTCGGCATGACTGCTATAGGCTGTGTAGCAGATTAATTGAAAATGATGCCCCTCAGGCACATTGTGTCTGCTCAGAGTCTGAAGGGCTACAGACTGAGAGTGGTGGCAGGGTAGGAAAGTGAAGAGAGGAATTTTTCCAAGGCTTTCTAGGCTTTCACCGCATGTTGGAACACAGCCCTTATAAGACGCACGCACATACACCCATGCACACATACACACACACACATACACCCATGCACACATACACACACGCACATACACCCATGCACACATACACACACACATACATACACACAAACACCCATGCACACATACACACACGCACATACACCCATGCACACATGCACACATACACACACGCACATACACCCATGCACACATACACACACACACACATACACCCATGCACACATACACACACGCACATACAACCATGCACACACACATACACACACACAACATATATATCAGCCAACGGAGTATATAAGGAACTTCTAAAAACAGTATAATATGATATATGACCCAAGAATATATACACAAGATTTGAACAAAACTTTGAAAAACAAAAATATGAATGTCCCATAAGTATATTAAAATATGTTCATCATCATCATTCATCAGTAAAATTAAAATTAGTATAATGACATAACATTGCATACCCACTAAGCTGACTAAAATCAAGAGGGATGGCAAGAAAGTGGTTTAATAAATATAACACATGGTGGAACTCACATGTGAGAGTGTAATATCACAAGCCACTTTTGATAATCTAGCAATATTTTATAAAATAAAACACAAACTCACCTTATGACAAAGAAATTTGTTCTTAAATGTTCATTGAAGTTTTATGCATAATAACCCCAAACAAGAAAAAACTC